CAAGATTGCTACCTCTGCACCAAGCTGAAGAAGTCTATGAGATTAGTCAATCAAGACCTATCTTTTCTGAACCCATGTTGGCTGTTATTTATTAAATTATTTTAATATAAAAACCATCAAATATGCACATCAAAATTTCTACAGCTGATTGGGCACACGGTCAGGAATGTTGGTTTTCCAGTTGTTAGACAAGTGAGTTTGTGGTCAGGGAACTGTTTAGCGCCTTCGAACGTCCACCCAATGTGAAAGGCACCATACAAATGTAATTTGTTGTTGCTATTGAAGTAGCAATAGCAGTGTTCTCATTGTAATGGCTGCTGCTTTTTGTATGAAGAGGAATAAATTGTATTGCTTTTGGCTTCAACCTGAAGAACACTATTTCGCTGTGATCCAAGCCAATGCACAAAATGAACAAAAACAATAGAAGGACATCTTATACAAATCATACCAATGTCAGAAAGGGGGTTGCAAAACACGGTGCAAAATTGACAGCATATCTGGTGCTTTGTGCTGAAAAAACTCACATCAATCCTTATGCAGATTTGAGGAACTAAATCTCGGACAAGATTTGACCAAGTTCCCCCATAGCTTCCAGTTTCATCATGAGAACTCTGACATGAATTGCTAAATGGCCTTCTGTACTATAAATTTATATGGTGCTATGAGGCACTAGGTCCCAAGTCTTATGGAAATCGATAATAATAATCCTTGCATTTCATATAGCAGCTGATCACGTTGTTTAGACATCTCAAAGCACTTCACAGAGTATAACGATAAAGTGAAGTAACTGTATATTTTGTGGGAGATACTCGGCAGCTAATTATGCACAGATATGCCCCATAATCATGGATTGAATGACCAAATTTGATGGACTCAATGCAGGTGGGTTTCCCCTGAGCTGTACAGCGTTCTGCTCTCATTTTTCCTGATGAGAGGCACCAGTCATGCTGCTGTTTTCCTGGCTAGTGCTGCTTTTTCTACCCCGTAGTTTACAAAGCAGAAAGTGTTTTAAAGCAAGGAAAGGGGAAATGGCTGTACTTCCTCTCATCCCAATCCTAGTGCAGCACATACAGATACTTAGGAAGCTTCCAAACTAGAAGACTGGAGAGTCTGGCAGACATTCTGCTAGATCAGTTTCTTGCTGGGACGAATACGAGTTTGTGTGTCTAGAAAGTTATTGAAAACAGGAACTGACTCGCATGATAGAACAGTTCAAACCACAAAGTAAGGAGAGTGAGTTATGCTGCAAATCCTAACAAAATGGAGTAGTGTTTAATGCTTTGCTGACCTCATTGTAGCAGCTCTTGAAAATTGCCCTTTTGTACTGTTTCTTTGCAAAATTACTTCAGGAAGTTGATATTTGAAAAAATATTATTTTATGATAACATTACCTTTTAAGAAGTCAGAAATAGAACTTCTTTTGATTGCTAATGTTAGTTATCCTCTCTCTGTTTGTAAACAAGTAGACCACTACATGATAGAGGTTTGCCCATTAATGCACCAGTAGCAGATCAGCCACGACAGCTAGAGAGGAGACAAGTGTTAGAGGTGCTCATTACCCAGTTCTTTCAGTGAACTATGTAATTGAGCACCATTACCTTCTTGTACTATAGGCATTTATTCAATTTGTTGCATATGTTTTGTTGGGTTATCGTTTTCCTACAGAATTTTTCCTTTATCCACAAGATCGCAGACCACAAGATGTATTGGAATAAAATAGGATTTACTCAGATGTGCAATGTGACTGATGTGCATGACTCTTTGTTTGTTCTTTGTGATTTGTTCAACTGGTGCTAGGTCACTGGTGCTGTAGTCGCTGTGGGAGAACTGTTCTTAGCGTTGTCACCTATTATTCTCTGTACAGGGCTGCATGATGGCTGTATGAGTGCCAGTCAGCTTTGCAGCCGTAGCTGTGCTGTGAAGGCCATCTCTGCAGGATGCCTATGAGATTCAGTGAGGTTTCTGAATCCCTTGGTTATTGGAGTTTGGATCTCAATGGCTTCCAAAAAATTTTCCAATTCCTAGCACTGGTACCCCTCGTTTCATGAAATCAAAATCCCCCTACCTTTAACAGATTTAAAAAATTGTCAGATTTAGTTCAGTCGCATTTCTGCCATGCTGATAATATAATTGATTTTAATGATTTCTCTGCCTCTGTTTAGACATAAAAAGGGAGACCTTAAGTCCTTTGGAGTTTTGTTAACAAATTGTCCTTAGCACCATGGGCTCATGCTTTCTGAGAGTTTTGAAGCTTGATATTGCCTTTGATGATTTATTCTGTACAGATTTCCATTTTCTATTCCCTCAGTCAGTTTGCTGATGTCAATTTGCATTCTTCAGGCAACAAAAAGACACTGATTACTGTGCTTGACTGGAAAAGACTCCCTGCTTGAAGATTATAAAAAGGAACTTTTCCAATCAACCACAGTAGCTTGAGAAAGATGCTTTGCACTATATTCTGTGAAGTGCTTTGGGACGTCTCAACTAAGTGATAAGGCGTTATATTAAATGCAAGGATTATTATTATTACTTCAGGAACAAGGTAAGGAATTACTACAATTTTCATATTTAACATTGGAGACTGGGCCCGCATTGTAGAGATAGTAATAATAATAATAATCCATGCATTTAATATACCGCCTTTCACGTCAGGAGGATATATCAAAATGCTTTGAGATGACTGTGTATTTTGCAGATGAACTATGAACATGTACACATTATACGGATCAATGTTTCACTATAACTAAATATGTTAAAATGATTCTGTATCAAGAATACATCATTTTATATTGTGTAAAACCTGTTGTATTAGAAACTGATCCAAAAATAGAGAAAAGTGTACATTAATATGCACAGACTGTGTGCAACCTTATATTACCCATCAGAATTGATCATGTGATGAGGTTTAAAAGATGATGTTGCTAGGTGTCAATACTTCCTGATCAAATGCCTTTATCCCTAATATTTGTGTTATATTGGGTATTGGGTGGGGGGGGGGGCCTTATTTGTTTATCGGCTGATATTTTGTTATTTTACTTTTTGTAAGAATTTGTGTCAGATTGTTCAAATGATTGGAAGAGGGTTTTTTCCTACTCATCCTCTGTTGTCCTCCTCAAGGCTCAGGAGAATTGCCTGTGGTCCTCCTCTGAGCTCCTCTTAAAGAGACAAGCAGCAAATAGATTTTTTTTTTGGGGGGTGCACTGAGCCCCTTTTACCCCTATTTTTGTTTTGGTCAGCCAGGTGTCTGACACACATGGAAACCCTTCACTATGCTGAGAGTATGGAAACCAGACTGAGAGTTCCATGCATCCCACCTACACATGAAATTTCCTGAGATGTTTACTGGAATGAAATGCACACACTCTCCCCGGAATGATGCATCCTGTTTACCTAATTCTGGAAAAGGTTTACAAAAAAACAAGGCTTTGGGGATGTGTTGGAGTACTGCTGGAGTCTAAGCAACAACAAATTTGCCATTGAGAGCACTGCCTAGTAAATTTTCCTGCTTCTTCTCCACCTACTCATTAGGGCTGTTGCATATTGCTTTAAGGCTAAATTAACAATTGGACATTGACAATGAGAAGCAAGTAGGAAGCATTATAGGATTCTGGGAAAGTGACTGGACAGAATGTTGAAGAGAGTAGAAGTGTAAGGTCGAAATAAAGAAACTATTGAAGCTAAACTGTGTTGTGGATTGAAAATTAATACCAGGGCTTTGAAGCTTAAAAATCTTCCCCCAAGAAGGATAGTCACTAGTTGGTCATTTGTTATCTGACAAGCGTGGGTTTGAGCCCTCACTATGTTATCATGGACTGAGCCCAGTTTCTGAATTACCATTGAGTTAATCTGGAATGATATTAATGATAATAATATTCCTTGCATTTATCTAGACTGTTACAAGCATGGAAACTGGTCATTCAGCTGTTTATTCTCATATCAGCCTCCACCATTCCTAATCCCCTCTCCCTGTAGTCCTGTAGCTCAGTGGTTGGAGCACTTGCCTCGCAAGTGAGAGACCTGGGTTTGATTTCCAGAAGAGCAAAATGTTGGGCAAGTTTCCTTACTCCACACTCCTCTGTTTATCTAGGAGCAAGTAGGAACCCTAGTCAATTGGCGGATCGCTTTTCCAGCGATTATAATTCCTTTTAAAAAGTTGGTCACTTCAATCCATGACTGTGCACAATTGGCTTCTGTGTTTTGCCCACAAAATATACAGTCAATTCACTATACAGTATATTCTGTGAAGCGCTTTGAGTTTTCTCATATGCTATATCAAATACAAGGATTATTATTACATGCATCTAATTTTCTTTTATATGTCTCTTAACAAAAAATACGCAACCGCTTGCTACTGATCTTACTCAGTTAGGTGGCTCCTATCAGCATGCAGCACTGATCCACACACAGTGTTACATTATTCGGTATACAGAAATACTTGGTTAATACAGTACTTACTTTCCTAGCAGACATTACGGGACCAGTTTATTGTTTAGAAAGGTAATCGAGAATGGTGCCTCTAAAAACCTGAAATTAAATAAGGATATTTCCTACGAGGTAGGAGATTTTTAAATAGCATTTACCTATTTAGGGTGGGCCGTGTATATTGAAATCACTCTTCTCTTCCCCCTGCCTCCTCTCACATCAAATTTGCTTCTTCAAGTAATTTATATGAATCTTACTTCTGAGGATATCTTTGATCATGTCTGCATGGCTTATATGCTGTTCATGTGGCTTGCCTCGTCTGAGTCTGAGTGTTAATGCCTGGTAATACTGCTCTTCTATTTCATCATATTATATCTTTATAGTGTGAATTACCCAGCTCTTTGGAGAAACATGTTTACTTGGTCGCTAATTTCTGAGAATTGCAATTCGAAAACTGAAGCAAATACAGATATTGTCTGAAACAATTTTGGAGTGTGAGTCTGTACACTGACAAATAATTCACTGATATTGTGAATTTAGTGCAGTCTTTGAACAGGAAATTCTGTTTTGTTTTTCAGCACGAAAATTGAGGAAATTCAGTAAACTAAAACACATCGGAAACAACCAGTCAACTCTGCAGCCAGACATGACTCTGAATATGAATCCACTTGCTGCACCAAAGATCACGGTTCCTTCAGCTCGAGGGATCCAGTTCACACCGGCACTCATTTCCATTTTACACGTTATAGAACCAGAAGTTATTTTCGCAGGTTATGATAACACTCAGCCTGACTCACCTAACTACCTGCTAACCAGTCTGAACAGGCTGTGCGAGAAACAACTAGTCTCTGTTGTGAAATGGGCCAAGTCCGTACCAGGTAACAATAGGATTAAAATCTAAAAATTATAATAATGAAACAATGTACAGTGTTTATTTTCTTCTTTATTTTTTTCTTTGTTTTGCATGTTAAAGTGGTGAACATCACAATGAGTTCTTTCTAGTGCAACAGCGTCTTTCTCTTTACCACAGCAACTTTTCTTGTGACTCTTGCAAATTTGCTATTTTTATCAGGATACTTCCCAGGTCTGAATGTTCACCTAGTCTTAAGCTGGAAGCCTATATTTTCTTAATATTTAAGATCACTTAGAATTGTGGAAAATGTTTGAATTGAGTCTTCAGTGGTAGGACAAGGATGATGGACCGAAAAATATTTGGGGTAAATGTTCTTCCAAACCTGTAATTTAAGGAGGAGTTGAAGATATCGATTTCTGAACCATACAATCCAAAGTCATAATGGGTAGCTGCTCAGTAATCTTTGTGTTGTGGACTTTGACCACTAAAAACTAGATGAAGCATCTCAAATTAATTTTGCTTAGAACTCTTAGGAGGTTGTAACATATCAGTTGTAACCTCGATCCAAACTCAGGGTCACAAGGCAAAGGACAGCATTGCTACTCACTAATCAAATTCCCTTCTACTCCAGCCGCCATATGAAATTTTTTTTCTATCAACGGCTAGATACAGAATATATTTAAATTACATGTTTAATGCTGGTAGCTCTCTGGATTGTTTTATTATGTTTATTACAATTTGTAGTGGAAATTAATTGAGGTGGCAGAGTAAATCCATTAGCCTAGGCTGATAATGAAATCAGGTCCTGTGATGAAGACACATTATTGCAACTATCTTTAGCATATAATAGCATGGTAAACCGTTACTCAAATGTTCTTAACTGTCAAACTTAATTAATAGCATTCTTGCCTTTTAGTCACAAATTTGGGGTTTTGGCTTTTTCACAGGACTTGACGATAAATAGTGCAAGATTATTCCACTCATAGGTCAATTGGTTGTAAAGGGTGCAAGCTCAGGTTGTAGAAAACAAACTTTCAAATTTAACCCCAGTTTAAAAACTATCCGAAATACTGTCAAAATCTTACACAAGTCTTACATTTTAAAGTTAAATGACTCAGACAGGTGGAATATCAGGCTTCAGAAATTAGATTTTTCATCTAAATGTTTTAAAAGTTAATTTTTTGTACACTGATGTGATCTATGTACAGTGAACTCTTTATAACTCTACCCTGCTTTAACATGTCACTTCTACTTAAGTTATCAAGTTGTCCTGACTATATTTAGTTTTACATGTATTTATAGATATACCTAACTTGATACTCTGGATGACTAGTCATTTAGCCCTTTTCCCTTGAAGTATCAGAAGTTTACTGTATCTCCTGTTATTTATGAAACAAAACTTCTTTGAATTCTTACAATGGTTATGAAGCTTTCTGTGCTGAGTACTTTGATATATATGGATCACGAGGGAGTCAGGACAAATAACAGGACGTTTTTCTTGATGCAGAGGATAATCAACAACTGGAACAGGTTGCCAGACAAAGTGGTTGAGGCCAGAACGCTAGACTTATTCAAAAAGTAGCTTGATGCAGTGATAAGAGATGGTAAAATGGGTGTTTTGCAGGGATGAGATTGGATGGACTAAATCCAGACCAACTGGATGCTGCATCCAGACCAATGTTGTGATCCTGTGATGTATTACAGTCACAGACAAAACACATGCTTTATCTGAGTTTGGCCACTTGCACAAACTATATGTAAAAAAATAAGCCAGCTTGAGAAGAATGTATGGGAAATCACATCTACCTATCTTGCACAAATCGATACATTACCATCCTCTTCATAAAACCGTTTCACTCATCCCATATATATTCAAATATTAATTTGATTATCAGAATCCGGAACTGACAAGGAAGGGGATATAAACATAGATTAAATACAGTGGAGTAGGCATATCAGATATTTTAATGACTAATGCCTTACCTAGCAATGATGGATGGAGACTCCTCATTTTCAGCTTTATCTGGAGTTTCCAAATCTTACACTCCCACTCTTAAATATGCCAGCATGTTTTAAAATGTCATGATATTATTAATAGTCTGAAAGATGGTGAATAATCATCATATTGAATCCATTTTGCACTATTATATTTTTCCAACCCATTGAGGATCTCTTAATAATAATAATCCTTGCATTTGATATAGTGCTTTTCACATCTTCTCGATGTCTCAAAGTGCTTCATCTTCTGGATCATCAAATCTAGAGCAAATGGATATCAGTGCTTGAGTGAGTAGTTTGCTACTGGCATTTGCTTAAACAGACAGATAGGTAATTGAAATAATAATCAACACTGTCAATGGCTCTGTTTTATCTCCAAGGAGATCAGAAGCAACTTTCTGCCAGGGTTGTCAGATGTGAGCTGAGTAGCTTTGTCTGTTGGTTATTCTGATAAATGAGGCATGGAGCATAATCTTTTACTAGATTACTTGTATCCTGGTTTGCTCTTGGCAACTATAGTACATAACATCCATGGCTTTGTTTGCATTTCTCCAAACTGTATAAAGATCTTCCACATGTTTTTTCTAAAACTATCCCCTATGTAGACTGCAAGGAATTGCAATTATGTAGCCTTTGAAAACTGCATTCTTCATGTTGAAAATTCATCTCCAATTCCAGTAATCCACCATTTCCTTCAAACAGGATTGTTTATTTCAGGCCATCTACTTTGTATGGTCTCTTGGATATATTTCTGTCTCCGTCCTTCACAGTTTCCTGTCTAATCTGACTCAGTTTCTATTCAGACACTAGCACTGATGATGTTATGCTCTATGCATACACTGTTGCTTCTACCTCTTTATTGGTACTCTAACTAAAGGGTAGTGGCAAGATGGCAGCAGCTTTGTATATTAAATGTACATCTTGATCATATTTATTCAGTCTTAACAGTAATCATATTCCTTAGCTAATCCTCAAGGCTCTTCTGACACATTGTCGTGACCTCCCATGCTTTGCCCCATCAGATCCACTGAGGACGGCGATCCTTCCTATTCTGCTCCTGTTATCAACCAAAGCCTTAACATTAGGGTGGCCCTGGCTGGACAAGTAGAAGGAAGTGTGCCAGACAGTCATGACCTGCTCTACCTTCCCTCACCTCGTAACATCGCCCGACTGCACCACTACCTCACCCCTCAGGGCGCTGAAACTCTTGTTCATCCCTTCATCACCTCCAGGTTCGACTTTGTAAACGTCCTGCTTGTCGGCCTTCCCAACTCCTCCCTCCACAGGCTGCAGATAATCCACAACTCTGCAGCCCATGTCTTCTCCTGCACCAAACTCCGTGACCCCATCTCCCCCACTCTTGCCCAACTCCATTGGCTCCCTATCCTTCAGAGGATCCAGTTCAAGATCCTTGTCCTCATCTACAAAGCCCTCCATGGCCTCGCCCCACCCTACCTCTGTGACCTCCTAACCCCCTACCAACCCGCCCGTTCCCTCCGCTCAGCCGGCTCCAGCCTGCTCCACGTCCCCTGACCCACCCGCCCCACCAATGGCGGGAGAGCCTTCAGCCACTCTGCCCCCAACCTCTGGAATTCCATCCCCCAATCACACCGCCTCGCCCCCTCCTTAGCCTCCTTCAAGTCCCACCTAAAGACCCTTCTCTTCGACCATGCTATTGGCCACCCCCCTTTCCCTCCCCTCCCTTCTCCCCCCCCTGACTCCAGCTCGGGTCTGAAATGCTGTACACTGTCCAGCGCCTTGGGCCGTCCTCCCGACGTGAAAGACGCTATACAAATGTAATCTTGTTGTTATTGTTGTTGGTTGTACTCCAGCAGAACCTCAACACGCATTCTGGGTCCCCAAACTTTGGCTCTTCCCAACCTCTCCAGAATTAGGTTAACAGGGCTCATGCTTCCAGGGACTGTGAATTCCATTCCAGATATAGGAGTTTCCATGTGTAAGTGGCATACTTATGTGAAACTCTGTCTGGTTTGTATAAAATTAAACGGGGTGATAGGTTGGCCTACTCCTGCTCCTAATTCTTATGTTCTTATGTTTCCACGTGTCAGACACAAAGCTGACTTAGCAAAAAGTTGTTTCTGGAGTAGCACATCATGTAATCCATGTTGATTCACATCTGTGTATATTTTTATAGGCTTTTCCAGACCACAAAATATAAGCACTGCAAGTTATGATATTACACCATTCAACACTTGCTATGAGTGTGCCTCTTTGACAATAAAGTGTTTTGTTTGAACCACAAATTGCTAGAAAAAAAGGTGGTAAACAAGACTGGAATGGTACCTTCCCAACAGAATTACCATTCATCAAATGGTTAAACTTCATTTTATGAGCTAGATTTTTAATTACCTTAACTTTTTGTAATAGAAAAATATTTCATGGTAGAGAATGACCTTCCACAGCCATTCATGTCCTAGAAGGAACTGGTGAAACTCAAACTAACCAGAGCAGCAGCAGTGAGAGTAGTGTCACGTTGTCAGCATATGCAGTCTCCACATATCAAAGGTGCAACCTATAACAACAACAACAATTTGCATTTATTTAGCACCCTTCCCATAGAGCAACATCTTAAAGCACTTCACATGGAAGGGCTTGGACACCAAGCAAAGCAAAAGGGGGAGACGGTTAGGTTTGGAGCAAGGGAAGCGAAGGCTCAGCCACCAAAAGTTTTGTGGAGAGGGCACGAGACACACAGCAACCCACATTCTATGGGGTTTTGTTATAGTCTCTGTAGCACACAGGCAACGTTCAGCATTTGTGTCTTACCACAGAATGCCTAAGATTGCGTGTCCAGCAAGAAACCAGATTCCCGGGCAAAGCGAAACAAATTTTCATACTCTACACGTGTCTGTTTACCTTGCAATACGTAGGAACATGGTTGTTAGTCTATTGGCAGATCGCTTCTCCGGGAGTAATAAACCCTTAAAAAAAATATTAATTAATCCACAACTGTTTGTGGGGCACGGCTGTTCGCAGTTGTCTGCCGCTAATTGACCAGCTTATTTAATACCATAAACTTTGCCACCAATCAATATCTGCACAGCTCAGTCATGACACTGCTGCATTTTCAAATAGCTCCAGCCACCCAGCACACATCACTGAACCCCTTTCTGTATCAATGCCTATAATTTGCAAAATGCAGCAAGGAATATAAGCAAGTTATAGCATTGGTGCAGAAACAACAACAACAACAAGATTCCATTTATAAAGCGCCTTTCACGTCAGGAGGACGTCCCTGAAAGGGGTTCAGTAATGTGTGTTGGATGGCTGGAAAGGTCAATAATCATATCCTGTATTGCCTAACCTTGCATCCTGGCCGCAAAAAAACAAAAGAACTATTTTGTCACAGCACAATATCATTCTTCAATACGCCTTCATTTTTCATATGAACTGTTACTATTTCCTTATCAATGTCTGTCATGAAGTCTCTAATCTCAAACTTTAGAAACAGTACTTGACACTTCAGTAGTTCTGCCCTTCTCCTGAACTCTTGCAAAGGGATAAGCTTGATAAAGTAATGTGTTTTGAGCCAACTAATTGTTTGGTTATAATGTTGAGTTTACCCACCCGAAATTTAAATTGCTGTTATATCAGGTTCACAATCGCATGTTTTTACCTGGTGGTATTTGTAGCTAACAAAAAATGCAGGCATTTTCTCAACATTGCCCATATCCACATATTTACCACAGTTGCGTGCCATCTTTCATGATTGGTGCTAATATTAGATTCCTTGTGTGGGTGGGAACCAAACTGCCTCCCTTTCCCTGCAAGTTTATGCACCTTCCACGGTTATTGTTGACAGAACCATTTCAGAAGCTACAGCTACTTAAAGTAAATCTTCCATTAGTTCTGTCATCTTTGGCATCCATACTCACTCATCCATTTTCAAAGTACAAAGAAATTACTTCCATTGTTATTGCAACTTATCATATCAAATGTCTCAATGCATTTCATGGATAATTACTGTCAGGTGTAATGACTGTTTTTATAGTCAAATGCAGCAGACATTTGCTCCTGCAAGACATAAAATGAATAACCAGTTAATCTGGAGGATTGTTGGTCAAAAGAAACCTCTTTTGAAGTAATGGATGTGGTGTTTAACATCCAACTGAACAAGCAGTCGGGACCTGGGTTGAATGACAAAGATAACATCAAATCTCCTGAAACATCCGGAACGTACCACTGCTTTTAAGAAAGTAAAGCTTTCTCTCAATTCCCTTCTAGTGAAATGTGATTATCTTATGCTAGGATAACCATCACCCACTTAAGCACCATTATTAACACAAACCATATTTTTCATCAAAGATGATTTTTTATTTGATTTAATTAAAATTTTGAACAGCAAAAAATATGGAAAATTAGCTTATTTCTCTAAAATATGTATCATGTAAATCTATGCATATCAACCTTCAAACAGAATTTTCCTTTAACAGATAATTTGACAAATTATGATATTATTAATTCTACAACTCTGCTCATTTAATGGAAACCAACAGGTCAGGATTTACGTTTTGTATATTATGTTATCTTCTTTTAAGTTGGCTTCTGAATATTTGTAAATGGATTAATTTAGAATACAGGACAATTCCTCTCTTCACCTTCATAATTATGCTTTTGCTTGGTGTATGAGGAATAAAAATGTCACAATTCCTTTTGGTCACAGGGGAAATAAGATTCGGACATTCTCATTGCTGTACCCTAAATTCAGGTGACTAGGATTGGGTCTACCAAGAAGTGAAGGCACTCATACAGCACACAGGAAGGGATAATTGGGTGCATTATATATATTTTGTAAAAAAAAGGGACTCACGATTATAAGTAGAAATAGTTTCACTTAAATGCTGTTATTTGTTGAGGTGGAAGTAAACAACATGGCAAAAAGGCCACCCCCTCAATGAAAGATATGGGTTCCCAATCGTGTTTAGAGAAAGTCCTCTTATCTCATTCATAAATGTTACCGAGATCCTGGGGGGGGCCTATACCTAAATCTTGTTTTGCATTGGCTCAACAGAAGAAGGCATGGAAGTTACAGATTTGCAAAGTGAGTGTTTCTCCATATATATGAATATTACCGTGACAATTCTGCAGTTTGGAAGTCCACAATTTCATCCAAAACTAAACCTTCAGGACTGTTTTGTCTTAAAATATTAGATCCCACAGAATTTAGAAATTCTGTCCTAAATTGAAAATTGTTTTCCTGCAGTTCTTCAGTTTCCAAATTAAGACTGAATATAAGAATTTTCCACAATTTTGCCACATTTTTAAAACAACATGGTCTTATAAGGTGGTATTTCTTTTTAGACTCTGTCAAGCACAGGTACTCTCCAATCAAAATATTATTTTTTTAATAGAAAGGGCCTAATTTAAAGTATTTCTTCTCAGGATTCCTTTATAAGAAACCTAAGTCACAAAATATGGACTCCTTTCGGTAACTCGAAGTATGTCGCACTGATTCATTCACAGCAATTCCACTCTTGACACAGTATGCTTTCAGAGTAGAAGATCCTACAGGTTGATAGTATTCTTAGAAATGTCACAAATTAGACTCGCAAGTTTCTGAAATCCATTTCTTCACTATGATTATTCTTAATAAGCACCATGAAGTACTTACAGTTCTTTTTTAATTCTCAACTGCCTTACTCAGAAAAGTTAGAAATGCCTATTTTATTACTTTCTTTCAAGTTCTTGTCTGTTTAAATAGTTTGTGGACATCGCACATGTGGATCTCATCAGAATTTCTACTTCAGTTGCAGTAAACTTTTCCAAAGTTGAATAGAAATACATATCCTAAGCATGAGAGTTACAGGAAACAGTCAACGCTGCAACCATTTGCAACACTGCATCAGTTAGAACTAGGCAACAGATAGCAAAACAGTCTAGGCTAATAGATGGCAGAGGATTGCTGAACCACACATATCAAATACCAATATACTTTCTTTTATGGATGACAGTGTTTCCTTCCTTGAAGTACGGTAAGGTTATAAGAGAACGGAAGTGAGACTTCCTCAAAAGGACTCGTATCGTGACGGTCCATCAAGATTAGGAACTATTTTAAATATATAGAAAAGGGAAGATAGAGCATCTCTCCCACTGTTTACAACCTTGTTACTGTCCTGCACTATTGGCTTTGGCTCTTCACCTGTGTTTCTCTCTGTAAAAAGCATCATTGTGACCAGGGTCAAGATTGTGGAGACAATCAAAGAGGACCACTTCTTGGCAAAAAACAACGTTATGTAATACATTGTTCCTATTCACCCTGGTAGCTGATCCTAGATTTTAAAAATATATATATTTCCCTTGAATCTGACACAATTATTCCCTTTGGAAAACAGGAACTCAGCTGTCCCTTGCCTTAAGCTTGGCAGGTCAGTGAATTACAAGCCCTCTTTGCCATCAGTGTTTCAATCTGGCTGCACCCTGTTCCTACTGAAGAGTTTGTATCCATATATCTTAGGAGGTTATTATTTCATCTTGTATTAATTCAACTGAACTAATGTGCACTGAGAGCCTTATTTTTACTAAGTCATCATACAGTTATTTATTTCCTTGATACTTTATCTTGTAATAAAATATATTGTCAATTGTTACAAGTTAGCATTATGAACTCTTAAACTGCAATCAAGGATATTCCACCAGAATCCTTTGTGGCTTACAAGCAAAGAAGTTTCCCTTAAGTAGTTCTGCAATCTCATTATTTTCAGAAATAAACAAATTTGTCCAACATTGTGGTTCTATACTTTGCCTTCCTCTGAAAATCCTGGTGTTTGTCAACTCAAAATTGTTGTCTTTTAATTGTAGCTACTAAATAGCAGAAGTGTCAAGCCAGATAGTTTTTTTTTACCTCAAGTGAAAGTCTTTACTATAAAAAGGCGTTCCGTTATCTTGCTTTCTCATGTCAGCTGAACATTTACCATTGGAAAATAACATATAGTTTGGTGAGAATTTATAAGTTAGTAAAAACAGAGAAAGTTGATCTTAGAAGAAATTTTTCACCTGGAGAGTTGTTGTGAATACTCTGCATTATAGCTTTCAAGGGGTAAATAACCAGGCATACGAAAGAGAATGCCTTGAAGGGTTATGCAGATAAGGAGGGGTGGTGGGATTAAATTGACCTCCTTGCTCTGTAAACTGGTGAGGACTCGATTGGCTGAATAGCCTATTTCATCACTGTAAATTTCTATATTTCTGCGGATTGATTTTTTCTTTTGATGATGGAAGCCTAAGTCAGGAGTCATCGTGATGTTATTGCTAAATATCTTACTAATATCTGAGTCAGCAAAATATGACAGATCAAAATAGGATGAGTAAGTGTGGCATCAAGTTAGTTCTGTATACTCTATGGGAAAAAGTGATAACTAATTTGGTGGTTGTGTTTGGGAAAAATATACATATTATCCATATTATACCCAGGCAAATTGCATCCTGTAAATTGTACGATTTAAGTTGTGGAAAGGACACAAAACACATTGTGTTCTCTATCTTTATGGTTTTAACATTTATCTGTTTATTTTCAGGATTTCGGAATTTGCACATAGATGATCAAATGACCCTCATTCAGTATTCCTGGATGGGCCTGATGGTATTTGCAATGGGGTGGCGGTCATACAAACATGTCAAAGGCAAAATGCTGTACTTCGCTCCAGATCTGATATTTAATGAGTGAGTAGACTTGTCCTTATACTTGTTGTGTTTTTATCAACACTTGTTACACATGGTGTATGATTTAGAATACATCCTGAATTAAGAGGTTCTCCACGAATTAGCTGTGTGTTAATGGCAGAGTCTATGGTAGACTCTCTTCAATTGAGTGTGGGGCCCTGTCTCTGCTCCTTTATGTCTGACAGCTACTTGCATTTATACAGCAGTTCTGGGTTTAGGAACTAACTGGGGTTTTTTTGGTCATCCGGATGTCTGACACATGCGGAAACCCATCACCAGGCTTAAGAATATCCAAACCAAGCTATGATTTCCATGCATCCCACCTACACATGGAAATCCCAGAGATAGATTGTTGGAATGGAATGTGCACTCTTTCCTTGGAGGGACGCAACCTGCTTACCTAATTCCGGAAAGTATTAGGTGCAGGTTGGCAAGAACCAAGGTGCTCTACAGATTATCAGAGTGACATATAGATAGAAGTAGAATTGCAATATAGCCAACAACATTAAGACCATAAGACATAGGAGCAGGAGTAGGCTACTCGAGCCTGCCCCGCCATTTAATAAGATCATGGCTGATCTTTTAACCTAATTCCATTTACCCGCCCTATCCCCATATCCCTTAATCCCTCTATCTTTTAGAAATCTATCAACCTCAGTCTTGAATATGTTCAAGGACTGAGCATTCACAGCCTTCTGGGGTTGAGAATTCCACAAATTCACTACCCTCTGAGTGAAGAAATGTTTCGTCAACTCAGTTCGAAAAGGCTGACCCTTAATCTTGAGACTATGACCCCTAGTTTTAGATTCTCCAACCAGGGGAAACAATCTCATGGGCATCTACCCTGTCAAGATCCTTAAGAACCGGGACCTGAGCATGGGGGAGGGGTGGGGTAGGGACGAGAGAAAGAAGAGAGGTTGGAGGGGACCAATGGCTCGATCGAAGAGAAGGGTCTGGAAACCAGCCTTGAAGAGGCAAGGGAGGAAGTGAGGCGAAGGGACCATGGGATGAAGTTCCAGAGTGTGGGGGCAGAGAGGCTGAAAGCCCGGCCACCGATGGTAGGGCAGGTTGGGCGGGAGACATGGAGCAGACCAGAGCCCTCTGAATGGAGGGAGTGGGCAGGTTGGTAGGGAGTCAGCAGGTCAGAGAGGTAGGAGGGGGCAAGACCAGGGATGGCCTTGAAAGTGAGGACGAGGATCTTGAATTCCATCCTCTGAGGGATGGGGAGCCAGTGGAGTCCGGTGAGGGTGTGAGTGATGGGGTCACGGAGCCTGGTACGCGAGAGTACACGAGCTGCAGAGTTTTGGATGGTCTACAACTTGTGAAAGTAAGAGTTGGGAAGGCCGATGAGGAGGGAGTTTCTGTAATCGAGCCTTGATGTGACGAATGCATGGTTAAGGGTTTCGGCAGCCTGAGGGGTGAGGCAGTGGTGGAGTCTGGCAATGTTGCGGAGGTGGTGGTAGGCAGTGTCATTCACGGCGCGAATGTGGGGGAAAAAGGACAGTTCAGAGTCAAACAAGATACTCAGGTTCCTGACTGGCTTAGTGAGGTTGAATGTGCAGCCGTGGAGGCTGATGCTGCCAGTGCCTGAGGTGCGGAGGCACTAGCGCGAGACAATCAGGAGGGCCTCAGTCTTGCTGATGTTGAGTTGGAGAAAGTTGTCCCTTGTCCAGGACTTGATGTCAGACAGGCAGTTGGTCAGGACGCCAGTAGTCCTGGAGTTGAGGGTGGAGGCAGAGAGATAGAGTTGGGTGTCATCTGCATACATGTGGAAATTTACCCCAAGCGGGAGCATGTAGAGGGTGAAGAAAAGGAGACTGAGGACAGAGCCCTGAGGAACACCGCACGAGACGGTGTGGGGGCTGGAGGAGAAGCCGTTTACTGCGACGAAGTGGAGGCGTGGTAAAAGGTAAGACCTGAACCAGTCAAGGACAGAACCTTGAAGGTTGAGGTGGGAGAAGAGGGGGTGGAGGAGGATTGTTTGGTTCACAGTGTCAAAGGCGGCGGAGAGGTCGAGGAGGCAGATGGAGCCCTGGTCGCACATGGTCAGGATGTCGTTTGTGACCTTGTGGGCAGCACGGAAACCCGATTGGAGGGGTTCATAGATGGAGTGGGAGGAGAGGAAAGAGCGAAGCTGGGAGGCAATGGCTCTCTCAAGGACCTTGGACAGGAAAGGAAGGTTTGAGATGGGCCGGTAGCTGGATAGCTGTAATGGGTCAAGGGAAGGTTTCTTCAAGGTGGGGGTCCTAGTGGCTGTTTTGAGGGGGGTAGGAACAGTGCCAGATGACAGGGAGAGATTGATGATTTCGGCGAGTAGTGGGGCAAAGAGGTGGAGCAGGGATTTAAGGAGAGGGACAGGGTTGGGATCCAGGGAGCAGGTGGTGGGCTTCATGGAGGATATGGTGGTGAAGAGAGAGGAGGGGGTGACAGGTTCAAAGATGTGGAAGGAGGGATGGGTAGTTGTCGGAGTGTGGGGTGGGGGTAGGGAGGGGGTGGAAGTTGGGAGGGCAGTGGCAGCTGAGCGGATTCCCTCGATTTTGGACTCGAGGAAGTCCAGCATTTCCTCGCAGTGAGAGTCAGAGGAAAGAATCTGCGAGGCATGGTGGGGAGGGTGGAGGAGCCGGTTGGTGGTGGAGAACAGGGGCCTGAGGTTGCCCTTCGCCTCTAGGATTAACCTGGAATAGAAGGACGATTTGGCCGAGGCGAGAGCGGAGTGGTAGGCCGGATTTGAGCCAGGTGCGTTCGGCAGCCTGCACCTGGCCCTTGAGCGAGCAGAGGTGGCTGGTGAATCAGGGTGAGGATCGGGAATAGGAGGCAGTTCGGGAAATGAGGGGGACAAGGATGTTGAGTGTGATGGAGAGGGTGCTGTGGAGAAGAGTAAACGCAGTCAATGGGTTATTGCGGGAGGTGGGCAAGAGGGGGAGGAGATCAGAGGACTCCAGGGCAGTGGAGAGGGATTGTGGGGAGATCTTCTTCCACGGGCGGTAGAAGATGGTGGGTAGGTTTGGAGGCAGTGGGGAAAGGGATATGGGAGTTGAAATGGTGGTCAGAGATGACCTTGTCATTGATGGTGACATCCGAGATGCTGAGGCCCCAGGATCACTAGGTCAAGCGGGTAGCAGGTCAAGGTAACAGAGTGGATGTGGAGGGAGAGGTTAAGAGAGGAGAGGAGAAATCTGAGGAGGTGGAGCAAGAGGGGGTGAGGTGGAGATTGAAGTTGCCTAGGATGATGAGGTGGTCGGAGCAGAGGCAGAGGGAAGCTAGGAGGGTGGATATGTCAGAGATGAAGGTGGGGGAAGATTTTGGGGGGCAGTAAATTAGAGGATTTTTAGAGAGAAGTGGGAGGGATGGCAGAAGGTAAGGTGTTCAAAAGAGGAGAATGAGCCGGTGGAGTCGGAGGATAGGGCAAGTGACACCCTGGATATGAGGGCCACACCACTTCCATGGCGGTTGGGGCATGGTGGTAGCTGTAGCCGGGTGGTGTGGCCTCAGTGAGGGGGAAGGTGTCATCTGGGGTGATCCAGGTTTCCGTGAGGGCCATAATGTCAATGTTCTCATTGAGGATGAGTTAATTGATGGCCAGGGTCTGGTTGCAGATATAACAGACGTTTTGAAGGGCAATGCAGAGTGGAGAGTTGGCAGGGGGATGTGTGGGATGGGAGAGGGTAGTGGATTGATTGGCAGGGAGGGTGGGAATGCGGATGAGGGAGGAGAGGTTAGCCCCTGGGGTCTGGGTCCGGGGTGGGGCTTGCGGATGTGGTGGGGAATGGGGCAGTCGGTGTGACTACTGCTGGACACCCAACGCCGAGTGCCGCGATGAGCCCGGCAGAGGATTCTCAGACTGGAGCAGAGGGAGGCATTGGGAGGGGTCAAGCAGGGATAGGAGGCGGGGAGGGCGGAGAGAGAGCAGGACAGAGCACGCTCCCCCCTCCTCCCCGCTCCCCCCTCCACCCCCTGTCTCCCCGCTCCTCCCTCCTCCCCCTGTCTCCCCGCTCCTCCCCGCTCGCCCCTCCTTCCCCTTCCTCCCCCCTCCTCCCCGCTCCCGCCCCTCCCCTCCTCTTCACCCTCCTCCGCTCCCCCCTCCTCCCTGCTCCCCCCTCCTTCCCCTTCCTCACCCTCCTCCCTGCTCCCGCCCCTCCCTCCTCTTCACCCTCCTCCGCTCCCCCCTCCTCCCTGCTCCCCCCTCCTTCCTCTTCCTCCCCCCTCCTCCCCGCTCCCGCCTCTCCCCCTCCCCCCTCATCCTCCCCCCTCCCGGATCCTCCCCGCTCCCCCCTCTCCCCCTTCCTCCCGGATCCTCCCCGCTCCCCCCTCCTCCCCCCTACTCCTCCCCGCTCCTCCCCCCTCCTCCCACTCCCCCCTCCTCCCCCCTCCTCCCCACCCCTCCCCACTCCCTCCTCCTCCTCGCTCCCCCCTATTCCCCTCCTCCCCTCCTCCCCGCTGCCCCCTCCACCCCCCTCCCCCCTCCTCCCCCTCCTGCCCTCCTCCCCGTCCCCCCTCCTCCCCTTCCTCCCCGCTCCCCCTCCTTCCCCTTCTCCCCGCTCCTCCCCGCTTCCCCCTCCTCCCCGCTGTCCCCTCCTCACCCCTCCTCCCTGCTCCCCCTTCCTCCCTATTCCCCCTCCTCCCCGCTTCCTCCTCCTCCCTGCTTCCCCCTCCTCCCCGCTCCCCCTTCCTCCCCGCGCTGTCCCAGCTCCGCCCTCTGAATCAGTGACTGATAATCACTAGTCACATCTTGCCAATCTGAGAAGGACCCGTTTATCCCTACTCTCTGATTTCTTCCTGTTAACCACTCTCCAATCCATGCTAATATATTACCTTTAATTCCATGGGCTCTGATCTTATGCAACAGGCTTTTATGTGGCACCTTGTTGACTGCCTTCTAGAAATCCAAATACACCACATCTACTGGTTCTCCCCTATCTAACCTGCTAGTTACATCCTCAAAAATCTCTATAAGATTTGTTAAACATGATTTCCCTTTTGTAAAGCCATGTTGACTCTGC